GGATTCCCGCTCAGCACTGTAAGAACCGGGTAGCCCCTGGGGAGTTGCCTCATTGACGGATAGCCTATGGCACACAGGTATTGGGAGCCCTCGGGTATCTTCATCACCAACTAATCAACAAACAGCGGACCCCCCGGTAACAACTCCACTGCTGCCCTCATCCATCAGGCCCTCGATCCCAGATTGAGGGGCTCCCCTTCGGCGCCCCCAGGACATCAACAGCAAGCCTTCGGCCAATCAACACATGAGCCCTCAGAAGAAGAAGAGCCTTCGGCATTACCGTTATTCTCCATTTTTGACCAAGGTTTCACATTTTCGATTCATCATTGGGGGAATTCGGTGTACTCTTTTTCCCTCATTAGGATTTTTTCCCACAGGGTTTTTCCTAATGAGGGTTTTAACGAGGCATCCCCCCAAAATGAAGCGAAAAGCGTAAGCCTTCGGCCCACAACAGCAACGCAACTACTCTACTCCTTTTCACCACTTTACAAGTGCCTAAAGGAGTGGGGGACTGGATGACCCCCTCGGGAAAATCATTAAATTACAAATTTAGTGAAATTCCAACAAACGACAAAGCAAGCCCTCAAGTCCCGACATGTGGGTAACTGAGGGACTGCCTTCGGCAGGGACATGCAAGCAACGAAACCAACCTCAGAAACTACAACGGAACAACGGCAGGGGACAAACACAAATTACTCCTTTTCCCTCAAGTACCTTTCGGCAAAAGGAGTGAGGGACTCCTGATGGAGTATATGGCCCGGGAACACCCGGCCCACAGACTCCTACTACTCCAGTGGAGGCCCAACAGGCCCAGAAGGCCCAACAGGCCCAAATCACGGCGCCCAGAGTACCAAGCAGCCCGCAATACGCACCAGGGGTGCCTTCTCCCCCCTGGCCGAAGGCTCCGAACTCTCACAGAACGGATATTTCGAACAAACAGAGGGACTGGGAGAAAACGGCGAAAACAGTAGCCCTCGGCACCTGGAGCCCTCGGCACTCAGGGGTCCTCGGCACTAAGAGCCCTCGGCTAGTCCTCTGCAGCCGAGGGCACCTCTCCCGACATGATATCCGCCTCACATGCGTACAGATCACCGTACCCTGTACAGACGTCCCATCCAACAGCCGCATTAAATGCGGCCACATGCGGCTGCCAACGCCAACCAGTTGAGGTGACCTCTCGGCCAATAGGCGCTTGACACGTGTCCTTGTCCAGCATTTATTGCTACTATAAATAGCCCCCCATTTCCCCATTTGTAACCACGACATTCAGACTGAATACACTCTCTCTCTTACTTACTTGTGCTCTAACTTCTCTCTAAGTTATTCCCTGCAATAACCCTCAGATATATACCCCCGGGTAGACTATCCATCATTTCTGCAATAACCCTCGGATATATACCCCCCGGGTAGACTATCCATCAGTGCTTCTGCCGTTAATTTCGATAGGATGTCTGCCTCAACATTCTGGACTCGCGGGACGCATATCAGGTCGGACTCCTCGAATTGTTTGATGAGTTCCAGGGTTGCATCCATGTATTTCTGCATCTGGGCTTCTTTGGCATCATATTCCCCTCTAAGTTGTTTTATGACTAACTTAGAGTCACTCTTGATCTTTAGTTTCTGGACTTTAAAGTACTTCGCTATCCTAAGGCCGGAAAGTAAGGCCTCATATTCTGCCTCATTATTGGATAGGTTGAATAAGTACCTCAAGGAATAGTAGGTCTTGAAGCCTTCAGGGGTGATGAGGACCACCCCTCCTCTGAATCCTTTGGACCCTGATGATGGTCCATCAGTCATGAGGGTCCACCAATCTTCCTCGTCACATCGTCTTTCTTCAGCTACATCTCTAGCATTGCATGTTACTAGAAAATCTGCCAAAGCTTGGCCTTTGATTGATGTTCTTGGGTGGAAGCTCACTTGATACTGGCTGATTAACAAGGACCACTTCACCACTCGCGCAGTTTTAGCCAATCTGAAAAGAGTTCCCACCCCCAGGTCTGACAAGACCTTGATAGGGTGAGCCGGGAAGTAGTGGGCAAGTTTCTTTGCTGCAACGTATACTACGAGGGCGGTTTTTTCCAGGGCTGGATATCTGAGCTTAGCCCCATGGAGAATCTTGCTGATGTAGTAGACCGGCTTCTGTACGGTTCCTTCTTCTCGCACCAAGACAGAGCTGACTGCACCCTGGGTGACTCCCAAATACAGAATGAGGGTCTCGCCGACCGAAGGTTTGCTGAGCAGCAGATCTGACTATAGGTACCTTTTGAGGTCTTCAAACGCGGCCTAACACTCTTGGGTCCACTAAAACCCATTGCTCTTCTTTAAGATCTGAAAAAATGGTAAGGATTTATCGGCTGACCTGGATAGGAACCTCCTCAGGGCTGCCAATCTCCCTGTGAGGATCTGAATTATGGACTTCTTTAACGTTCCTTGGGGACTCCATATCCAAGATTGCCTTGACCTTTTCTGGGTTAGGCTCAATGCCTCTATGAGTTACCATGAATCCCATAAACTTTTCACCTTGGCCCCCAAAAGTGCACTTCTTAGGATTGATTCTCAGGTTTACCTCCTTCATGATGCTAAACACCTCCCGAAGGTCATCTGCATGATCGCCCGCTTTTTGACTCTTCACAATCATGTCATCAACGTAAGCTTCCATGTTCCTCCCTAGGACTGCTTGGAAGACCTTGGCCACCATCCTGGTGTAAGTAGCCCCAGAGTTTCTCAACCCGAAAGCCATCACCAGGTAACAAAAGACTCCCTCAGGTGTGATAAATGAGATCTTCTCAGCGTCATCAAGGTGCATGGAGATATGATGATACCCCCTAATGTTTCCATGAAAGAAAGGAGCTCACATCCAGCAGTCTGATCCACCAGTTGATCTATGCTAGGCAGATGGAAAGAATCCATTGGGCAGGCCATGTTGAGATCTGTATAGTTCGCGCACACCCTTCAGGTTGGCGGCTTAAGGGCCAAGACTACGTTGGCAAGCCACTTCGGATACTGCACTTCTCTGATATGTCTGATGCCCAACAACATGTTTACTTCCCCTTTGACGAATTCTTTACTGTCCAAAGATAGATACATTCTCTTGTGCTTCATGGGAGGCGCCTTTGGATCTACGTTCAATCGGTGGACCGTTATGCTCGGGTCGAGCCCGAGCATATCCTCAGGTCTCCAAGCAAAAAATCACCTTGAATTCTCCGTCAGGACATGGACTATCCTCGCTCTCAGGTTGGTCGGAAGTCCTGCTACAATTTTAACCCGCCGTTCTGGCTGGGATGGATCGACTCCGACCTTCTCGAGCTTTGAGACGGTCTGAGCTTTGAGCTGCCCCTCCTCGTATTTGGATAAATCATGTTCAATAGCGTTGATCCTTATATCGTTCCTCCCGTGAACCTTGCAGGCTCTCACGTAATAGCTCATGGCCATCTTCTGGTCTCCCCTCACCGTGCCTATCCCGGTCGGTGTATAGAACTTCATGCATAGATGAGCTTGGGAGATAATGGCTCTCAGGTCCTCTAACAAAGGTCGGCCCAGGATGGCCTTGTGCATGCTTGGCAATTGGACAACAACAAAATCTGCTTCGATCACTAGCTCGTACGCATGGCTCCGATCCGAGTTGGATCTTAAGGGTGATCACCCCCTCTGGGTCGATCGTGTCCTCGGTAAAACCTAAGAGAGGTGTTTTTACCGGCTTCAGAGCTCTCTTCTGGAGTTCGATCTCCAAGAAAGCATCCATGTACATTATGGTGACCGAGCTGCCATTGTCCACGAGGACCCTATGAACGATTGCATCCATAACATCATTTCTAAAATATCAACACAATCAATTGCAACTGGAATGATTGCACTTACTCACTTGACAAAGATGACTTAGTGACTTTCGTATGTTATTTTTTCTGTTTATTCATGGAACACATTTTTTTTAATCAAATTCAGAGTTACCTCTGTCACAATATTGAATTTTTAATCCGTCCTTTTAGGAAACTCTAAAACATCAAATTTAGCAAGTAATGGGTCTTAAATAAAACATACCCCATATTTCAAAATGTGGAATTTTAGTTCATACTTTGAGAATTACCAAGAAGCATTAAATTAATTATTTACATTTTACTTTATCATAATTGAGGATGAAATGAAAATTCAAAACACCTGAAACCTCTTTATCGAAATGGCTATTTTTGTGGATAAATGAAAGCAAACTATGGCAGTATATAAGTATGTATACATATGTGTATAAAGGATACATGAGTATATAAATAAGGAAGCGTCAGAGGATGCGTAAATATTAAAATATGTATACACATGTGTATATACTCTAATGAACACAATATTGATTATAAAATACAGCACATTATTTATGTGGTCTGACTTTTTCCTGAGCATGTCATTACCAAGTATTTTCTCAATTTATATATTATTACTCCAACATACTTTCCACAAAGTCATCACTTACGTAAAAGAGAGTCCGTACCTCACTTTGACATTTCGATGAAATAAGAGCAGTACAAATAACTATTTGCATTATTATACATTCCATTAGCGGGTCTAAAACTTATATTCAGTTTCAGGCCTAGGACCGACCATGTCTGTCCAAGAGGGGTACCCGATCCCGACCCACTTACTTGGAAGATGAACCGAACGGTTCTTATTCCAGACTAGTATTTTTTTCAAGCCATGGAAACACAAAGAAAAAATAGAACGAGACTAGATCCAGACCGGGACTAGAACCAGACCGCCCCGCCGCCTGGGTACCTGGAACTCACCCAGACTCGGATTTAACTGAATTGGACCGGGCTTCTCCAACCAATGACCGGAATCGGCCGGAAGCGGGACCAAGTCCACCCCAAAGTAATAGTACTTGAGCCGGTCACAAGTGTAAAAGATGGATCGCATGAAAGGAGTAGTCCAACATAATAAGTGTCACACTACTCACACTCTAACTCACTGGAAGGTAGAGTTAAGCTGAGCGAAATATGGGCTTTATATGCAGTGGGCTTCGTTATTGCATATGGCAGCGGTTGACCGGTCATCTCGGTGCGCTTTCCCCACCAAGTTGGAATGTACGGAAAGTTATTTCTACCCACCTGAGTGCTAATTGGTCATTTTGCTCCGTTGCGGTTCTAGATCGGCGGCATTCATCGCCGGTTGCTTGCTAAGCGGTACTCTGTAAGTATCCCTTCACTCCCATTTCTTCTTTCATTTGAAGCTTTTCTTTTTCGATTAATCTCACGGATACTTTCTTAACGACGACGAGCAGAGGAAAGATATGGCTATGCTGATCGCTGCTCGTCGATTGGCGAGTGGATCCACGCGGCCCGTTTCCTCGGAGTCGCTGCGGTATACGACGAGCTGGAGATATTTCTCAACTTCATTCCGAGAAGAAAGAGACACGTTCGGCCCCATCCAAGTCCCATCGGATAAGTTTGTACCGATCTCCTCACTGTGTTTACTCTAATTTCCCATCTGTTTGCCTGTTCTCTTCTTTTAAATGATTTAAATTGTTATGTGTTATCTACTTTTAGTGTATCTTTTATGCTTTGGTAGCAGTTCTCTTTTGCTGAAAAAGTCAAAGTTCGTTAGGGACCAATCTAACTTCTAAAGTTCTAATATCTGACCCATTTGAGTTCCCAATAGCGGGAAATGAAGCATAAACTGATACCCTATAGCTATGTTCTGTTGTTTGTATGAACCCCACTACATAAACTCCGCTGGATGCACTTCATTACCATGTCATTCTCAAAATTGATGATCCATCTTCTAAATTGCTTGATTTTTGTTTTCTTGGATTTTGTTGCAATATCACATTAAGCCAGTTTTCTTTCTCTCTCTCTAGAATAATTTTTTTTGGTTATATTTTATTTTAGTATTTTTATATTTTGCATTTATTTTCAGATTATGGGGGGCACAAACTCAAAGGTCATTACAGAACTTTGAAATTGGTGGTGACAGAGAAAGAATGCCTGAACCCATTATACGTGCATTCGGTGTTCTTAAGAAATGTGCAGCCAAGGTTTGTCATCATTATTGTCTCCAAGCAATTCAATCGACCAGCACAACCTGTGTTTCTTCCTTCATAATATATTTTACTATATATAAGTATGCATCTTGTTTTAGTCAGAATTTTTAATAGCTACTTTTTCCAAAGGAAGAAATGAAAAGAGAGGGATATATAGAAGCCAAGCTTAGGACATTATGTAACTGCATAAATGGCATACGTGGTATCTGCAATACGATTGCATTCCTTAAATTATAGCTGGTAATTCACTACTGTAATCTTAAAGCTTCCTTGGATTTACACAGGCTGCCTTACATTGCAGGTGAATATGGAGTATGGACTTGAACCATCCATAGGGAAGGCAATAATGCAAGCTGCCCAAGAAGTTGCTGAGGGAAAGCTAAATGATCATTTTCCTTTGGTGATCTGGCAGACTGGTAGTGGCACACAAAGTAACATGAATGCCAATGAGGTAATTAAAACGGGGCATATTACGCGATTTGTCAAACTGTTTTCCATCTGCAAACATGAAGCATTCTACTATTTGAGTGTAGATGGTTCATAGGGTTTTTCTTTTTCTATTTAATTTCTCAATATTCTCTGTAAAACTAACCGAAAAGTTTAAAAAATTGTAAACAGGTTGCTTAGTTGCATTTACACATCTGAGTTATCATTGTTAATAATGTTTTGTAAATAAACAAAACCCTGGAATTGAGCTTACTCCACTTTTGGTGACATTCTATGATTCAATCTATCTTGTTTGTTGATTAGGCATTTGTGTGTGACCGAACTTTTGGGTACCTATAAATAGATGAAATATTTCTGATCTGTCCAGGTTATAGCAAACAGAGCAGGTGAAATTCTTGGTCATAAATTAGGTGCAAAAGCTGTACACCCAAATGACCATGTGAATAGATCACAATCTTCCAACGACACATTTCCTACTGTGAGCATCATGTTGCAACACTCATTTACATGTAGTCTTCTGTTAAGGTTATCCTGAATTGTAGTGTCACTAACTTCTATTTGATTGACGTACAGGTGATGCATATCGCAGCAGCAGTTGAGATTAATAAGAGATTATTGCCAAGCCTGAAACAACTGCATACATCACTACATTCAAAGGTGAAATACTTGTTTTTTCACGCTAATAATTTCTTCATGTGGTAACTTTATTAACCTCCTCCCCACGTGTTCAACTAGTCTATTGAATTCAATGACATCATCAAGATTGGGCGTACACACACTCAAGATGCAACACCTCTTACACTTGGACAAGAGTTTAGTGGATATGCCACTCAAGTAAGCTTTCTCAGCTTTCAACTTTTTCAAATGTTAAGTTGTAAACTTTTGGTTCTCATGGTTTTGTATCTGAAGGTTCTTGTAAATATTTTTTAATGATAGGTGAAGTATGGAATAAATAGAGTTTTTGGCACCCTTCCACACATGTATCAGGTTCTCGTTATCTTTTTCCATCTAGGTAGTTTACTCGCTACTCGGTAGTAACTCGGTCAAGGGCCGAGTAGCGAGTAAGACCGATTACTCGGGATTACTCGGTGACTACTCGTCTTGTAATTATTAAATTTAATAGCACAAATGCCTGAGATTATAGAAATATAATAGTCTTAAATTTGTCTTAAAATGCATAGAAATGAATAAAATGATAGAAATCCTAATGACAGAGTAGCAAAAGTCATAAACATTCTAAGTCTTCTAGAAAACTCAATCATCTAATAATTTGCTAGGATCTTTGTTCTCTCCCCATGTCCATCCTAAATCATTTGATTTTCTCTTAAGTGTTGGATTAGCATATTCTGTCAATTAGATGATGTGTATCAGTGTGTATCGATCAATGATGTGCCATAATAAACAATCAATATAGTGATATTAATTTAAAGTTACGTAGTACGAAGTATAATACATATAGTCATACTAGTGAAAATAATTTATTTATATCAACAAGTACGTGTGCATCAATATTAAACAATCAAGATGGTGATATTTTAAGAATGCAGAAAAGAACAATTGGTGAAGAAGGATGGGAGGGTGGAAGAAGAAGAAACGAGAGAGGGGAGAGGGGAAGATACAAGAAAGAGGTTGTGAACTTATTGAGAGATCATAGTCACAGCTCTGGGGGATAGTAGATGTCAGGAACTCCGTGTAACCTAGGTTTTGTAACTTAGTTTTTCAATTTTAAAGGGGGGGACCGAGTTAGACCGAGTACTTGCCGAGTTGAAAACTTCACCGAGTTGAGAAACTCGCCGAGTACTCGGCCAGTAACTCGGAAATAAAACACGGACCGAGTCAGATAGCTACTCGACAAGGTCGGTACCCGAGTTGCGAGTACTCGCCGAGTACTCACCGAGCAGATAACCCAGTTTTCCATCACAACTTTTGTTCCATCTTTCTTCCATACTTAATAGTTCCATGTGATTTTAACTAGTTTGACTTTGAATATCATTTGAGCAGCTTGCACAAGGAGGAACTGCAGTTGGAACTGGATTGAACACAAAAAAAGGGTATGCACCTTTACTAAGTTTGAAGTTGGTCGATATTTTTCATCTATACCATCTCTTCTTCGTTTGATATTTGACGAACATCTTTTCACTGATTTAGTTTGCTTCAGTGAGCTATTGTAAATAACAAACTATCTCTTTATCCATTGTGGTTCTTTGAAATGTTAATATTAGAAATTTAGATTTACTCGGAATCATACTTTGAATTTAGGGTGTGATATACAGTTTTTGTTTGCTTTTATTAGGTTTGATGTGAAAATTGCTGCAGCAGTGGCAGAGGAAACAAGTCTGCCATTTGTTACAGCCGAAAATAAGTTTGAAGCATTGGTAATGACCTTTCAGTTTTATATATGCTTCTGCGTTAAATGCTAATTTGTAAACCTATTTTTATAATTATTTACCCTTTTATACTTATGTTGCAGAATGTACTTAATTTATTCTGTTACTGACAGGCTGCACATGATGCATTTGTTGAAAGCAGTGGTGCCTTAAATACAATTGCTGTTTCCCTCATGAAGATCGCAAATGATATACGTTTTCTAGGAAGGTATAACTCTTATTTGAGATTGCAAATTGTTTTCAGAGTTGCATTTTATGGTGACTTCACGTCTTACTTGATTTGCAGTGGTCCACGTTGTGGTCTCGGTGAACTCATTCTTCCCGAAAATGAACCCGGAAGCAGCATCATGCCCGTAATTATCATCCTTAAGTACAATAATTGAAAACTTCATTATCTTAATTCTTATCTTACGTGAGTTGAAAACATTTTAGGGGAAGGTGAACCCTACACAGTGTGAGGCTCTCACGATGGTCTGTGCTCAGGTACCTAATTGCTTTATTTACTGATTCATATAGATTACAAATCCAAGTAACACGGCCTTAATTTTTAATATCAAGTCGAATATGTGATATGCTAGTCAATGGAGGCATGACATTGTTAAATATTTGTTTGATTGTTTCTTAAAAATGAGTGTCATTTTCTTCTTAACTCCCCCCTGCAGGTTATGGGAAATCACGTGGGCCTCACAGTGGGGGGATCTAATGGTCATTTTGAGCTGAATGTATTCAAGCCTATGATTGCAAGTTCTCTCTTACATGTATGATCAGTCTATCTTATTCTCCTTTCATTCTTATTAATCTGATGTGCAAAACTCGGCTGTGTGCTTTTGGGTTATAAGAATATATAAAGGAAAAATGCTTCACGTTATATCCTACACTCTCAGCGCCTTCCGCTTTTTTACTCTGCATAAATTGTGCTAGTAATATGGATATGGTAATGATATACACAAGGCATGATAGAGACATAGAGTTTGTAATTGCATAAATAGATCTAATTACCAATCCATAGAAAGTTATCAATAGGTCACTAGTTGATTCAACCAAGTTGGTGAAGTTTCTTTTCAAATATATACTCAAGCAAATATAATATTTTATTATGAGCATTTTTATACACAAGTACTGTTTTACGGAGTACTATTTTACAATAGAACCATTAATGCTCAGTCTGTGAGATTGCTTGGAGATGCATCTGCTTCTTTTGAAAAGAACTGCGTGCGGGGAATCCAGGCCAATAAGGAAAGGATTTCTAAACTACTACACGAGGTCAGCTTTAGTTCTGTGGAAATGTTGAAAACCAAAATTTTGGCCTTTGGGCTAGTGTATTATTTTGCTCTTGCATTTTGGTTAAAGGCTTTATTAGTTAATCTGCATCTCCTGCTTCATTTTTGCAGTCACTCATGCTTGTCACATGTTTGAACCCGGTAATTGTCTTCTTCCCTCACCCCTTTGGTTTTCTTTAGAAAACCATCTAGTTAACTGTATGGTTTTCTTTTCATTATTATTATTACTCAATCTCATATTCACTTTGTGTTGTTACTAATTTCAGAAAATCGGGTATGACAATGCTGCTGCGGTTGCTAAAAAAGCACACAAGGAAGGAACTAGTCTAAAGGTGATTTGGATCTTTAACCTCCTTTTAAGCGCTCCCCCTTCTGTTTCTACGAAAATACTCCGTATAATGTTTTTGTGTTAAGGTAGTAAATACACTCTCCATCCCACAAAAGCAGTTTTTTATGTAATTTGCTAAATGATTACCCAAAAAGAGTCAAAGGCATGTGAAATACAACTATTGTAGTTTAAACGACAAATAAATTTATACATATACTCCACATATAAGCATAAATCATGATTTCTGATGGTTGTTGTACCTTGCCAAAATAAAAAGTTTTACATTTGTAAAAGATTGTTTTTTGGGGAGGGGGTAGACTGATAGTACATATGATAACTTATTTTCCTAGCAATGAGAACATTCTACGCGTCAAATTCTATATTTTGCACTTGGATTCTTCGTAGAATGAAATAAATGGCTCCTTGTTTTTCTGGACTGCAGGAAGCTGCTCTTAGTTTAGGAATGCTGACCTCGGAAGCGTTTGATGAACTTGTAGTTCCGGAAAAGATGATCGGGCCTACAGATTAATTGCCCCCTCTCATCACAATAAATGACCCATTTTTTTGGCTACACTATTCTTTTCTTCCATCATTGATCAAATCCCAATTAGAAAAATAAAAGATGCAAGGACCTCTCAAAGAGGCAAATTGGAGAATTCATTCAATCCTGACTAGGGTGGTAAACGAACCGAACTGAGTTGAATAATGTGATTTTGTATTAGTATTTGTTTAATTTTTTCGAATACGAATCTGAATTTGAATATGAAACGAATATTTATTTCGATTTGTATTCGTATTTGTTTAACAATACGAATAGTTAACGAAACAATATGAATATCGAATCGACCTGATCATAAGTTAAATATTAGTCAAATATCATTTAAAAACAACTTTTTCTACGCGTGCTACGAGTCTATGACCCAATGTGTTTTCAAAAGGTACAAATATACTCCTATAGTACGAGTGTGAGAATAAATACACTTTTTCTATTTTTTGGAACAAATATATCTCTTAAGTAGGCTTGGAAACTGAGTCCGGTTCTGGTTCAGGCCTAGGTGCGGGGGGGGGGGGGGGGGGGTCTACCGGTTCTGGGTAAGGGAAAAGGGGAACCGGCTCGGGCCTTTTTTATTTTTGATTTTTGATTTTTTTGGTTTGGGCTGGGGTTAGTTGGGCTGGGCTGGGTATTTTCGAGGGGTTTGGGGGATGGGGGGGATGGGGGTGGCCGGGTGGGGGGTGAAATAAATAAGAATAAAAAAAATTGAACCGGAACCGGTCCGGCCTGGAACCAGTCAAGTCTCGGGCCGGTCTTGGGCCTATAGATACGGAACCGGCGGTCCGGTCGGGCCTAGGCCTGACCCGGCCCGAGTCCAAGCCTACTCTTAAGTATATGTGGAAGTGTATATATACCCTTGAACTTTTTAAAACGTGCAAAAATACTTCTCATGTTCTTATAAAAGAGCAAATATACTCTTATTGGCTTTAGACAAATAGTATGAGTTTTATTTATGAATTCTTATTTTAGTCATTCTTTCAAATAAATTTAAATGAACAACTAATATTCGTAACAGTTTAAGTCATATTCGATACTTTTAATTATTTGAGCCTTATATTGACAATTTTATCTTTACAACCCTTCATTTAATAAAAAAAAATTATATTATTGAAAAGAGAAAACAATTTACAGTACCTGCAGGGTCGTCGAATGAATTTGGAGGCCCCGGTTCAAAATGAAAAATCGGGGCCCCACGTTTATATAAACTAAATACTTATACTTAAATCAATTAAATATTCATTAAAAGAGAACGAACAAAGTAAAAGGACCAATGAAAAAATGATGGATCTATATTTTTCTTCTTTACTAGTTAAATGTATTTTACTGATTAGTATTAATTAATATATAATATTACTATATAATACTAATAAATTTTTAAAAATGTGGGGCCCCATAAATCCGGGCCCCTGTTCTGGATAACCTATTGACCCCCCTAAAAAACGGCCCTGAGTACCTGCTTATAATTATTACAAAGTATTTTTAAAATTGATTTAAAAATATAAATAATTGAAGGAACATTTTTATTCTAAGGATAAAAGTTTTTTTAGTTACAAGATGTTCTTTTTCAAAGACAAACACTAATAGAGTTTTTGTCATTTTAAATCTCGATCTATCAATGTCACTTTTATAATTTGAGTTTAATTTTTTCACTTTCAATTCATTGATTATTGTGGTAGATACTATTAATCATTTTGATACTTCATTTTGAGATTTTCACTTTCAAACATTTGATATTGTTTTGGACAAAAAAAACATTTGATATTGTAAAAACGGTACTCCTACTTTTAATCCTTCAACTACATCAAATAGTAACAACTTTTATTGTTCATCCATTATTTCAAAACTGCAGTGAAGGGATTAAAAGTTTCATTTAAAAAAATTAAGATTAAAAACAGAAATTTTAAAAAAATCTTTTTATATTAAGGATACACCATATGAGAGATTAAAAGGGTGAAAAATATGACCAATTGAGCATGAATTTGATTTTATGATGACATGGTTTAAAAAAATTAAGAATAAAAACAGTAATTTTTAAAAATGTTTACCTAGAAGTGTTGGAATAACATGTGGTTACTTTATTTGAGTCATAAACCAAATCAAAACAAATGAGATCAGTTTAAACTAGAGTACTAGACCAACTAAATATAGAAAGACCAAATATTAATTTTACCCGTGGGCGTAGCTCAGCGGGTAACGAGGGAGTGCCACAAGGGTTAATCCCGAGTTCGAATCCCGGCAACTGCGATGAGAGGTTACTATGCTAAAAAATGCATCGGGTCTCTGCAAGTATCGGAGACAGAGCCCCGCTCTCTATCTGTCAGATTGAGATTATAGTCCTGATGGAGTATATGGCCCGGGAACCCCCGGCCCACAGACTCCTACTACTCCAGCGAAGGCCCAACAGGCCCAGAAGGCCCAACAGGCCCAAATCACAGCGCCCAGAGTACCAAGCAGCCCGCACTACGCGCCAGGGGTGCCTTCGGCCCCCTGGCCGAAGGCTCTAAACTCTCACAGAACGGGTTTCTCAAGCAAACTAAGAAACTGGGAGAAAACGGCGAAAACAGTAGCCCTCGGCACTGTGAGCCCTCGGCACCAGGGTGCCATCGGTTGGAGGAGCCCTCAGCTACTGCTCTATAGCCGAAGGCATCTCACTCGACAAGATATCCGCCTCACATGCGTACAGATCACCGTACCCTGTACAGACGTCCCATCCAACAGCCGCATTAAATGCGGCCACATGCGGCTGCCAGCGCCAACCAGTTGAGGTGACCCCTCGGCCAATGAGCGCTTGACACGTGTCCCTGTCCGGCATTTATTGCTACTATAAATAGCACCCCATTTCCCCATTTGTAACCACGCTGAAAACGGCATTCATACTGAATACACACTCTCTCTACATTTACTTGCTTGCTCCGACTTCTCTCTAAGTTATTCCCCGCAATAACCCTTCGGATATATACCCCCGGGTAGACTATCCATCATTTGGTTCTCTCGTTGAGAGGTCGAACAATCAAGTAAGAAACCCTCCCCCTCGACCAAACACAAAACACTAGCCCTCTATCAAAATGGTGAGGACAACACGTGCCAACTCAAAGAACGTAGAAGACAAGAACCTGGCCCTCGGCGACGTCAACGCCCCCGAAGCCTCTCACAGGGCTCCCGAGGGCGGTGTCATCACTGGGCTGGAACAAGCGGCTGTCGACCTACGCCTTCAGATCCAATAAAATGCCCCCGATGCCCGCCTCGGCATCGAGGCCAAAAAGAAAAACCGAAGCGATGACCAAGTCAACCCTCCGGTTCTCACCATCGACGTGCAATCGGCGCTCTCCGCCTTCATCCAAACGCTCACCCAGAACCCGGGTGCCTTCTGCACCCTGGCTCCAGCTCACCCTCAGGTTGGGGAAAACATCATACTTCCCCCTCTGCCACACCCCTTCGGAAATCCCACCCCTCGGGTGAGAAACGACGAAGGGGTGGTGGCCCAAGATACGTCCTCCCAGGAAGTTCAGTCCCGGGACCGCCATAATGACAACAGGGAAAGGCCCCGTACTTCCGCCCTCAACCGGCTCGGAGGAGGGCCAGACCGCCGAGGGGTCCAAGACCGCCTCGGGGGGAAAGCACTCCAAAGGTCCCAGGAAAGCGGGGGATCTGTTTCGAGGGCAGACGAGGAGCGTCCCCCTCGGGACAAAGGCAAGGCACCCCTTCATGCCGATGATGCTCGGCACCAAATTAATCAGGCCCACTCGGCCCGGGTTCGTTCGTAGGGGGCGGAGACCCTCCCGAAGGATCCCCGGGACGAGATTATTGCGGCCCTCCAACGCCGGCTTGACGAAATGGAGTCCAACAAAGCTCACGCCACCACCTCCACCCCTCATTCAGATCTCAAATACGAGGCCATGATGGCCAAAATGGAGGAGTTACAAAAGAAGGTGGCCGAGGGCTCCGGGGAACCCGTCATCCAGCTCCGGACTCGGACGCCATTTACCCCAAGGGTATTGGCGGCCCGGATCCCGGAAAAATACCGAGGGCAACACATACAGCCCTACAACGGAAAAACGGACCCCCAGGAACACTACAGCAAATACCAGATCAGCATGATGATGGTAGGGGCGTCGGACGAATATTTGTGTCGTTGGTTCCTCTCCACCTTAGAGGGGCCGGCATACGAATGGTTCAACAGGCTGCCCGAGGGCTGCATTGATTCGTGGCAAGAACTCGCCCAGCGATTCTTGACACAATTTGCCGGGAGGCGTCGCACGAGGAAGCACTTCTCCCACCTCCTAACTATACGCCAAAAGAGGGATGAGACCCTTCGGGACTTCCTGGAGCGCTGGAGGACGGAGGCCGACAAGGTCGACGGTGCTGATGACGGGACCCTCCTGGCCCTCCTACAAACCGTCCTCCGCACCGGCAACTTTTCAAGGAGCCTCATCATTGAACCCCCCCGCGACTACATAAGGGCTTTGCAGCGGGGGGGACCGATATGCTGAGGCCGAGGAGGTGGAAAAGTATCACCAGCATCCGGACCAGCAGCCCCCGAGGGCTGACAACAAGCATAACCGAGGGCCGGGGGCTCCTCCAAAACAACCCAAGACTTCGGGACCCTCTGATGACCGCCCTCGGCAAGGCCAAGCCAAGCCCGGGGGAGGTTATAAGAGCAACCCCAAGACTTGGGCACAGCCCATTCTCCTGGACCGCCCTCGGACACCATTGACGCACCCCGTCAGCATCATCCTCGATTTTGCCGAGGAGAGGGGCCTCGTTGAGCGCGACTCTCGCGCACCCCCGGAGGTACACGCTATCAACCCTCAGTTCCCCTACTGTCGCTTCCATCGGCACCAAGGGCACAGGACCGATGACTGCCATCAGCTAAAGACGGCCATCGAGAAGTTAATACAAGCAGGGCACCTGTCCCAATTTGTTCAGAGCCCTCGGCATGAGGGACCTTCTCATCAGGGGCCTCCCCGAGGGCACCACACGAAGGTGAACGCTTGGGTAAACCCGAATACCATCCCCCTCGGCAAGAAGAGGGAGATTGGAAACTTGGAAGAAGAGGAGGAGGAGTACCCCCACTACCAGGAGAAAAAACGCCACATCCTCATGATCACCGGTGGCAATACAGGGGGCGATTCCACCAGCCAGCGAAAGAAGTGGGCTCAATCGCTTTACGTGGGGGAAGTCACTCATATGCCCCCGGTAAAGCGACTGAGGGAGGAACCCATCACCTTCACCAACGCAGATCTCCCTCCTACTTCTTCTCCTCACAGGGATGCCTTGGTAATTCGGACGGAGATAAGCGACACCATCATTCACCGAACTTACATTGACACGGGCAG